TATATATATATATATATATATATATGGTGCGGTTTCTATAAGGTTGCAACCTTAAACAATCCAATTAAGGTGTACCTCCAAAATTTATCATAACATGTAATTTTGTTGTAAAAGTTTTTTAAAATTATCTTAAAAACTATTTTCAAGTCTAATTAGAAAATTTTAAACTCCAAAAATGGTTACCCACATATATATATATATATCATATTATTAAAATTAGGTGCACCTAAACAATCCTATAGAAGTGAGTGTTCTGGTGTTGGAGAGCTCTCCAATTCAACCTTGAGATGCATAGATATGCAAAAAAAAAAAAATAACAAAAGAATTTTAAGTTCAAAAAATAATATATCTTGTAATAAGTTATCTAGAGTTTTTTATTTTTAAGATTTCCAATTTTTTATTGATCTGCTTGATCTATAGCATTTTTTAAAAGGTGCGGTTTCTATAAAGTTACAACTTTAAACAAGCCAATTAAGGTGCACCTGAAAATTTTATCATAACATGTAATTTTGTTATAAAAAGTTCTTAATATTATCTTAAAATCTATTTTCATACCTAATTAGAAAATTTTAAATTCCATAAATGGTTAAAATCAAGTAGATCTATAAATATATGAAAATCTTGAAAATGGACGGTTTAGATAATGTGTTGCAAGATGCACTATTTCTGAGACTCAAAAACTTTTTTTTTTGCGTATTCATACATCTCAATGTCGAGATGATTGATTTGATGGTTTTTTCAACATTAAAATATCATTTTTGATAGATTTTTGAGGTACATATGTGATTCTACATTTTAAGGTTGCCACCTTATATAACCTTTTCCTTTTTTTAAATTTTAATTTTTATAATTAGAGTTGAAAATAGACTTTTAAGCAAGTATAAGGTTTCCGGCACCGAAACAGCATCTCTAAGCAAATTTTAGAAGTGCGGCCTTATTTCTATAATATAAAGAGGCAACCCCATAGAAACCTCAGCATATATATGTTTTTTTTTCCAGCTGCGTGGTGACCCGTAGGACCCCACCATTATATTTATCGTGACATTATCATTATCTTATATTTACCAAGAGCCCGACGTGGAGCCGATATGACGCAACAAGATGGGAATATGGGCTTTGCATTACGATGCGTTTATAACAACGTCATAAGAGCCGTAATAAAGATGAGGTCTATTCCTCGTTATAACACAATACCCTCATTCGAGATTCGCAATCCCCATCAGTACTACCGAACATTATAGACGGTGGCCATAACGGAATATAAAACGTGTTTTTTTTTTTAATTCAATAGGAAAGACATGGCCCTACCTAGTTTTTCAATTAGATTAGGTGTTTGCTTTTTTAAAGATATTAATGAAAATATGGTGACTAGAGTATGGGGTCGCCACCAAGCCCATTCCTAATAGTTCCATTACTTGAGAAAGATAATTCCCAATAATATTCTTATTTCTTTTGAATTTAGATGTTAAATAAAAAGCACATTCCCCTAAATCTTCACCAAAGATCATAAATTTCCCGTAGAATTAGTTAACCTCTTCTGCAAATTTAAACCCCAAAGATTTGGTCATTATGTTTCCCATATTTTCTCTTGGACCCTAAATATATAATATATTTAATGGATATGTTAAAATAGTCTACCATATAAATCAGAGTCTCCATCACCGTCAGATGCCAAATCCAAAGGGCAGAGATCCGTCAAAAAATTTCAAAGAACTTTAATTCATTGTTAGTACCTTGAATAATGCACTTTAAAAAAGATTTGGGCTTATCCTTAATTACCTATTTTAGGTATTGAATACAATGAGACCATGTGCTTTTGATAGAAAGTGGCCAACATTTTTTACCCTATATGAGATTTGATAGCTTGGATGTGTTACAAAGTTTGAATTCTTTTTTTTTGAAGTTGAGATTGGTCCATTGATAATTGCAGCCACCCAATTGCACATCTGATGGTCATGATTAACATGACCATCTTGTATGAAAGGTAAATTGTATCATTTTATTTTTTTATTTTTAAAAATTATATAAAGTTGTAATCTTACTTATAAAAGTAAAATTATACTTATTTACACTATCTATTTTATTTGAATATAGTATTTTATTTAAAATTTAAAATGATGTGCCATTTTTTGATGTACTTTTAAAAATATTAAAACTTTACATATAATTTTTAAAGATATATAAAATCTACATCATTTAACTAAAATAAGCCTATTAAAACATAATAACCTTATTTCTACGTATAAAATTTACACCATAACATTTATCTTATAAATTGGAATTAGAAATTATTTTATTTAATTTCCCATTATTATAAATCAAATTGCTGTAAATTTGAATTAGATAAGGATTAAATAATATAAATAGGATAGGACTGTTAAAAGGAAATTCTAATAGGAGTAGAGGTAATAAATGAGTTATTGTATATATATATATATGAGGTTCTCATTCTGAATGATTACACGATCACCAGAGCCGGCTTCTCCCAACGGGCCTCTGTTATTCTGTTCTTTCCTGTTTCTCTCTCTATCTGCCCATTAGTCTCCATTTCTTCTTTCTCTCTTTCTTTTTATCTTGTATTTTCTCATGGCCACAACAACTCAAGCAAGCCTTCTCTTGCATAAACAATTGAAAGGTATGGTTTTTGATCGGTTTTTCACTTTTTCTTATGCAATCAAATTGTTGATGTGATATTGGGTTTGTGTTTATATCATTTGAGAGGTGGGATGTTTTTTTTTTTCTTTTTATCTTCAGATCTTTGCAGAAATCCAGTGGATGGGTTCTCGGCTGGATTGGTAGATGACAGTAATATTTTCGAGTGGAGCGTTACCATCATAGGGCCTCCTGATACCCTATAGTAAGCTTCCTTTTATCTTTTTTTTTTTTTTAATGTTCTGAATCTAGGGTTTTGGTGTTCTAGGGTTTTAGTTTTTCTGGTCCTTCCATTGTTTGATTGATTGATTTGATTGAAAAACATGGGTATTAGTCTTTTTGGCTCTTTGGTTTGTTCTTTGAAAAATACATGCTGGATATTGTTGGTTAGTTATTTGCCTGATCAGTTTCTTTTCTGAATTCCTTATATGTTTGTTTATTGTTTTCAATAGATGAATGCTTTAGTATTCCTGCATGTATAGATTTGGTTTTTGATTTACTTTGGACACATATGGAACTTTTTGATTTGCTGATATTATTGATGTTATATTAATGATTCTGAATTGATTTTAAGGTTGAAAAGTGATTAATTTTAGCTTTTATGTTTTTCCCTGATGGACACTTGAAAATATGGTTTATTTTATCTTTTCATCTTCTTCCATAATTGACAAATTGTATGTTTTTTTCAGTGATGGTGGTTACTTTAATGCAATTATGAGTTTTCCACCAAATTATCCAAACAGTCCTCCTTCTGTAAGGTTTACATCAGAGATGTGGCACCCAAATGGTAGTTATTTTTTCTAAAATTAGTTTAAATTTTTTAGATTTATTATTCATGTTTTCTAATCTCTTTTATAATTGCAGTTTATCCTCGTCAATTTTGATTTTCTTTTATAATTGCAGATCATCCTCTTCAATTTTGAATCTCTTTTATAATTGCAGTCTATGCTCATGGCAATTTGAATCTCTTTTATAATTGCAGTCTATGCTCATGGCAATTTGAATCTCTTTTATAATTGCAGTCTATCCTGATGGCCGTGTGTGCATCTCCATACTCCATGCTCCTGGAGACGACCCAAATGGGTATGAGTTGGCAAGTGAACGCTGGTCTCCTGTCCACACGGTAGATATTGTTCCAAAGAAATCATTTTTTTGTTTTTTCTTTTAATATCTTTTCTAGGTTTTCCTGAATTATATGTTGGATAGTCTTCAATTCATTGTATGTATCATTTAAGTGCTCTCTGTTGTACCGTGGAGAGTCCTCTTCTATTTATTAAGATTCAAATATGGTGCTCTACATATTAAAAATGTAGAGGTCCTAGGCTGTGAGAAGCAAGTGGCTGGACTGGTCAGGTAAAAACGAAGTTTGATCGAAAACTGGTTAAAACCAATGTTTGACATGTTTTGGCAGTCGGAATAACCGGTTTCACCAACCTACATGAAGTCGGGCAATTTTTTTTAATACATTTTATATTTCGAAAATATTATGTCTATTTTTCCTTCCTCTTTCTAAAATCGGGTCCAAATCGGTTTCACCAGTGGTTGACCAGTCATAACTGTATCAAACCGTTAGCTGATTAAGTGACCAGTCCGACATAACACTGATACATGTTAGCGTTTAAATTTTCAGTTATGGGAAGCAAGTGGCTTGGTGAGAGGATAAGGTCCAACACTTAGGTAGTCTTGAACATAGTTGCGAGAACCTTGGGGGTAAGGCCACAGTCCCTCCGTCCTATGGAACTCGATCCTGTAGTTCCTCTAAGGGATCTTAGAAGGAGCTGGGTTTAGAGAAATATAGATCGCACTCCCTATAAAATGGGATCTCGGTTTACATACTTGTAGGGTCCTTCCAAGTAGAGGAGTTGTACTACAAATTGAACTACCAGTCCTCTCCCTGGTATTATGGAATTTATTTCTTTAGAATATATTAAATTGCGGTATACTAGAATTATGGTAATAAAAATATCATAGTAAGCCAATTTATGATATTAAACTATATTATTGTAGTAAATTGGAGTACTATAACTATGACATTGGTAACAATCTAAGGTATATGATAATGGATTGAGCGGGCATTGGCTCGATTCTTATTTTATGATATACTATTTGTTGATCCCAGTGACATGGGATGTCTCTCCCAGGTATCTTAGGTTCTACTTTCTTAACTTGTTGGATATACGTCGATCCTAACCCCAGGGAGCTTTCACCCTATGAAGGTTCGGCGTTCCCTGAAAGGATCCTGCTCCAGCCTCCAACAACTATGCTCTCGGAGTGGGTTTAAACTTTAAATGGTTTAATATGGAATTGTGGGGGCTTAGGGTTAGAGACTGGGTAGTATGGGCCATAGTGCTTTTGGTGTTCCGTGCTCATTTGTAGGACAGATTGGGTGTTTTGGAATATTGTGGCTTTGGTGTTGAGCTTGCTTCTACAGTTGCAAATTTTTAGATCTTGATGTCAGGGATAAAAGAGAGTTAAGTAACAAGGGTATGGTGGTGTTTATGACAAAATACACCAAAAGTGCGTGCCCCATGATGGGTATTTTGCACCTAGGTCCCTGGGCGCCTGCCTAGGGACCTTGGACGGCAGCCTAGGCGGGCGTCCAGGGACAGCCGCCTAGTTGCACCACCCTGATCTGGGTGGATGGCTTTTTGAAACTATGTAAAATAGATTGAGACGCCTCCCCTCAATGAACTTCTTCTCCTTGCACTTTAAAATCTCTTTTCTCTGAGAGATGATATAGAAGGCCCCAATCTACATGGTGTTAGGCCTTCTTTGCATCTGTGTGTGAGGTTCTGCGTGGTCTCCCCTCCTGAAATCTTCAGTTCATGATTATATGGGTTACTAAAGGACATCAATGATCTACCTCCTGTCTAGGAAAGCAATTTCTGATGGGTATATCGTAAAGACATTGTGGGGATCTGTATCTCTGGGCTTATCACATTTTTGGGTTAAAGTTGAATTCCTTTCTCTCATTTCGAAGATGACCTTTGTGCATTAGTTTGCCATATATACCATTAGGGGGCCATTGGTCGAGAGCTATGAAAGGAGATTAGCATTGTGAAAGGTGCATTTTGTCCTTGATGACACGTTTAGGTGATAAGGATTAATGCCATTTACTTTATGGACCTCTTCGTAGGAGATGTTAACCCATGATGCTTTTTCGGGAGAGTTTGAGGTAATTTATTGACCATAGCTTCAAAGGCAAAAGACCAAGAGTGATGGTAGATATCTTCCCAAAGGGGTTTAATAAGGAACATATTTGGTGTTGTGATAAAAAGGGCATTGTTAGAAATGAATGACTGATTAGGAATTACCAATTTCATGGTCTCTCCTTAGTGGAATTGAAGTCTCATTAGCTGCTCTTTAGTGGTTGTGAGAGGGAATTCTTTTAATGTGTTTAGTTGGGCCAACACATGGTGTTGAATCTTTTCACGTGGAGATTGGTACATTGGGATATGCTAATTATGTAGTATACCTGAATATATCAATACGAGTGATATGCAAATAATGTGAAATGTCATTCTGAATTTCCGGGAGGCCTGTGACAACAATTTGTTGTCCTGTTTTCAATAGTAATGTTAATTCTTTTAACTCTAGGCCTGGGTACCTAATAAACCACATGATACCTAGAGGCATACATTTTTTGCCATTTGTACTTGTTTTTTGATTTATTTCTTGCTGCTTTTGCTTGTACATTGTCAAGTACAGATGGTGGATTTAATAATTCATTGTGGTGCATTTCTATCCACTAGACCTGAAGTATCCTATTAGGAAATATTCTAGCCTATTGTCTTTGTGTCTATTAGGAAATAGACCTGAAGTATCCTATTCTTGAGGGACTCTTTTTGTTATATTGAACGCTTGCACCCGCACCCTAACAAAGGGCTATGATTGTATTACACTTGTTATTTATATTGTCAAGGGAAAATAAATAACAGTATGAATTTTGTCTCTCTCCACACTTCCCTCCAGTTTTCCTAAAATCTCTTTCTAAATGAAATAAATTTGTTAGATTTCCTAAATCATTTCTTACCTCATGTTTCATCATCAATGTAAATTGGAATTGAAGGTAGCGCTATAGTCCAGAACGTTGAGTGGGTAGGGTTATAGTCCATTTTTTTTCCCGTACATTTCAAAATCCAAATCTTTTATTTTAGCAAGGAAATAATTATTTCTAAATGAAAGCGTATTCATAATTTGAAATGTTGAATTTTTCTGATAAATAGCTGTCATAGATAGGAATATTCACAATTAATTGACTCATACTACTATCATAAATTTGTGAATTCTAAACTTCAAGACAAAATATCACAGTTAAAAAATGAAACATTGTCTTTTCTAAAATCTTAAATCTCTTATTCTGAATTGGAATTGAATATTTAAACAAAGAATATTTGTGATTTAAATTTTTAATGTTGTCATATATTTGATTTTAAATAGAGAACTTTTTAAGAATAGTTGAAAAATCCAAGAAAAGAAAAAATATGAAAAATTGTGATAAATTGTCAATTACCATCATGTAGAAATTGTCTCAAAGAAAAGAACCAACATAGTTATCTATAATGATAGATTTATGAGATAGTAAT